TCTCCCATTGTCTGTCTTTCTACGTTTGTACTCTGCTCTGGTCAGTTAACGATCTTCCTAATGTCTATTGCAAATGGTGAAATCCTTGCAATCGACCTCTCATTGTTAAATTTACACGAACAATCTGCACCAGATTATGTCGTTCTTTTCTTAGTGTTTCGTTCGAGCTATTGCCTTCTGTCCGAACACATTCCCCAGATATTTCCCTACATTTTCGGACACTTTGTCAGAGTTAACCTTGTTTGCTTATCAGTGGGGCATAAGGGCCATGAGCTTGCCGATGTCCGTTCTCATGGACAGTTTGCTATCGGAATGAATACAAAAGCGTGTTTAGTTGGAAGTGACCCAACTACACCCGGCGTGCATAATGTCTGACCAGTAATAACGTCACAATTACTCGGCATGTTGCTTTTGTCCGAACCGGCGCTCTGTCCATCCTGACAAACAAGCACTCTTCCTCTTTTCTCCTGCGTTTGTTTGTCGAGCGAGGTCGTTTAGCCTGTCGGTCAGCATCCCCCGCTGACCGATTCCATCAATATTCCGGGACATTCTGGGATTTGGGATGTCAGTCTTCCGTCCAAGTGAAGCATTGTTAAACATCTAGGAACGTTTGGCGACAGCGGAGGTCCTTCGAAATATCTTTCCTTAAAAGCTTCGTGGAAATAATTCAGATTTCTTTTAGAAACAGGCCTTCATTATTTTATTCTTGTGTTTCTCAATTTTGGTGTTATTTTCATCTTTTTTTTAATTTGTACTTGCTTTATTTTCTTTCATTTTCATTCTTTTTTCGTCGTTTTTTTTTCTCTTATATTTTTTTTACTTTCTTCTTTTCTTCTTCTTCTTCTTCTTCTTCTTCTTCTTCTTCTTCTTCTTCTTCTCCTGCTCTTCATTCTTCTTCTTCTTCTTCTTCTTTATCTTGCCCCACTCATTCTTCTTTTTCTACTCCTTCGTCTATTCACCAGGTTGTTTCATTAATATCTTCTTTTCTCTTTTTTGTCTTTCAGTGTGATAAAAATATATGAATAATTTGATACAAAAAAGGCTGAGAAAATACATTAACAACTTTCGACACGAACGAAAAGTAAAGAAAAGAGCAAATAAGAATACAAGTAAAAAATATAGTATATATATATATATATATATATATATATATATATGTATATATTAACTGATTGAAAATATGTTTTGTTTAGCTACACAGTAATAACCATGTTTCAAAAATGGAAGCTAAAAACTAAAAATTTAATCATATAATTAAATCAAAAGCATTAGTTCCGTTTCATTGGATTCCAATATTAGCTTGAAGATGAAACGGAACTAATTCTTTTAATTTAATTATATAATTAAATTTTAAGTTTTTAGCTTCCATTTTTGAAACATGGTTATTACTGTGTAGCGAAAAACAACATATTTTAAACCAGTTAATTTATAATATTTATGCCCTGTAAATTTAACTTTACATTTAGTATTCTTTTGCAAAAAGAAAAAGAAAAAATAACAAGAACGCACAGGATTATTTATCTTACTGTTCTTTCATTTATATATATATATATATATATATATGTCTGATTGAATAAATTACAGGCATTGTGTCTGCTAATTTTTAACAAAATCCATTCATACTCACAAATAACGTTCCGTGTATTGATGCCAAAGGATAAGAGAGATGTGCTATAGCTGTTTAAATATCTTTCGATCTTTTTCCAAGATCATCTTCAGAGGTCCAATTAATACAAAACTATATGTTGTTCATTAATATACGTATTTATACAAAGTTGTTATCCATTACAGTCATTTTTCATTATGCTTTTAAATGCAAAATGGTTGACAATGTGCTGGATATTTATTGCATAAAATTACCCAATTATGGCACAAGGCTGAAATGGGGAGGTCTTGAGGCTGGTCGTCACTAACTATCCTATACCTAGCTAATCTGATTCACGACCTATTCACTCATTACAATGTGCTGAGCGTTCATTAGAATGCGAAAAACTTATCCCTTATGGAATTGTTTCTCTCCGTGTTATAATGTTATGGTCACGTGCGCATTAAAGAGTGTAAAAACTGTTCTTTTACAGGTATTTCAGAACATTACTACAGTATTCATAATTGATTCTGTTCAATGCCGGCTTTGATGTTTTTGCTTCTAGTATCTGTAATCTAATTTTGTTGTTTGCATGGAGTAGAATAGTTGAGTTGTCGGTTAGCAATTTTTTATATTGTGAATGCCAACTGGAATGTTGTTGTAGATGTCATGCAATGGACGGATGGTCAGACATGTATAATGTAAGCCTTTTTCTTAGTGTATTTTTCGCATAGTAATTGGTAAACGAAAATAAAAGAAATTTCAACAATTATAGCACATTTCTCACATCCTTTAAAATCAATACACGGAAGGTTATTCGTGAGTATGAACGGATTTTGTTAAAAATTAGAAGACATAATCTCTATAATTTATTCAACCAGATATGCTTAAAAGAGAATTTGATGTCTAAATACACAAATATATAACTATATGTGCATATATGTATAGTATATATATATATATATATATATATATATATATAGAAAATTATAATATATGTATATATAAAATAATAATGGACTCTCTACCATCGGTTTCGTCATATGAGGATCTGACAACTTAATTGAGTCAGTTATGAAATTTTTTGCGATAATCTTAAGTGACACTTAAGTCCCACTAGTGATTTAGAAAGAAGGCCACATATGGAGCAAGTGTGAGGATTGTGAAATGAGATCACTGTTAGATTGCCTGACCTTTTAGATCTCAAAAATATATATATATATATATATATATATATATATATATATATATATATATATATGTGTGTGTGTGTGTTTGTGTGTGTGAGTGTAATCCGGAAGAGTACAATCCAGGAAGTTAATGCTTATGACAATGCGATTTTTACATACTTTCTTCTTCATTTTGTTTTGCTTTTACTATTGCCAACAACTCCTACTGAAATTTTACACTTTTCCCTTTAATTCTGTCTTTTTCATCGAATGAATTACAATTTGTAACTCTCATAAAATTTTTGGATCATGTCTTCTATTTTTCATACGTTTTTTCTCTCTTAACCACCCTTTAACACACTTTTAGCACTCTTTTACCACTCTTTTACCACACTTACTTTTGTACCGCCTATTTTTTCCTTGCTTTATACTTTCTAATTTGACAGCGTTAACATATGCGCTTAGGGTCTTTTTATGTTTTATAATCGTTTTAATGATTCTTATCTTTACCTCGGAAGAATAGCATAGAAAATTTTCCTGTTGGTTCATGAAATCTGCAGCATAGTAACTGAGAGTTCACATTTAGTATCGGTTAAGTAATGCGTGGTTCGAAAGTCATGTAATTTCTACTAAAAACTAATGAGAACAACAGAACATCAAGTAATACAGTAATACAAAGCACATGTACCGGATTCAGTTTATTCACTTTTACTGACGATATCAAACATCAAGATGGTCAGTACGAACACCATCATTTTCGTGGCACAAGAAGGATGCGGCGCGATGTCCCGTGTGATATTTTACGAAGCTGAGGTTTGATGATAGTTGCAAAGGATCTCCTAACGCCGTCGTTTAACTAAATAATATTCTGGTATCGTTCAGGTGAAACTTTCTCCTTGATTATACCCCTACTCAACAAGTGCCGGGACTTGTTGCGACTCTCGTCCCATTATTAGACAAATATATTTTGTAGGGATGACAAAACTTTCGGATTATCCTGTACATACTTGACTCGGTAGAAACATAGCGAAACTGAGCTGCACAAATATTGGGAACAAGATGAGACATCCCGAAACATGGAGGGATGAGCAAGAAGAACCTATAGCTGTAGATTAAACAAATGACTCGTTTCGAAATTTATTTAAGTTTAAATTGATAGACACTCGAAGAAGTTCAGAAACAGAAACGGCTGCAACGTTGTGATGATGATGTAGGGCTTTTATGAAACCCTTCTCCTAATGGTCAGATGGCGCAGGTGAGTTATTGATCGAGATTTACCTTAACAACTTAGTCAGGTTGTAACACAAGGTTGGTTTTTAACGTAAAACTGGTCCAACCAAGCTTGTCTTAGCTTGTCAAAGCTGGACAATGCTTGTCTAAACTGGTTAAAGATTAGTCATAGCCAGTTATACTACCGCTACGTAACTGATGTTACGCAGCAGCGGGGGGGAGTTCAAGGTAGGAAATAAGGTCTTACCATACCGACGGAAGAAACCTTCTTCTCCTCCTTTGCCAATCCTCCCGGAAGAATCCGGGGGGAAAGTCCCAAATCGTTTTCAAAGCGTAGCTTGGATGTAGCACAAGGCTGAGAGTATGTAGCACTCAGTGAGGATTGAACTCACTACTCAGTCGTAATTGATCGAGCGAGATAAACTTGATAACCATTACAATACGCCAAAGTGACCCAGGTGAGTTACTGCCCTTGATAGGGTTGCGCATGAGTTGTTTCTTGATCTTTTCTTTTGTTACATTCTTTCTTTCAAGTTGTTTTTTTTTTTTTCATTTAAATTCTTCTTGATTTTATTTTCAGAATCATCTTTTTTTGGTTCTTTATTCATTTTCACAAATTTCTGTCAATTTTCTGTCCAATTTCTTTTTTTCTTTCTGTTCCTTTCATTTATCAGATTTTATTATTTGTTTGCTTTTTTTAATTCACGTCCATTTTCATTTCTAAATTCTCTTTCTTACATTCTTTCTGTCCATAACTATTTCTATTTCTTTCTTTCTTTATCTATCTATCTATCTATCTATCTATCTATCTATCTATCTATCTATCTATCTTTCTTTATGTATCTATTTATATTTATATAAATCTATTTCTATTCTTTCTTTATCTATCTATCTATCTATCTATCTATCTATCTTTATGTATCTATTTATATTTATATACATCTATTTCTATTTCTTTATCTATCTATCTATCTATCTATCTATCTATCTATCTATCTATCTTTCTTTCTTTATGTATGTATCTATCTATCTTTCTTTCTTTATGTATCTATTTATATTTATATAAATCTATTTCTATTTCTTTCTCTATCTATCTATCTATCTATCTATCTATCTATCTTTCTTTATGTATCTATTTATATTTATATAAATCTATTTCTATTTCTTTCTCTATCTATCTATCTATCTATCTATCTTTATGTATCTATTTATATTTATATAAATCTATTTCTATTTCTTTTTCTATCTATCTATCTATCTATCTATCTTTATGTGTCTATTTATATTTATATAAATCTATTTCTATTTCTTTTCTCTATCTATCTATCTATCTATCTATCTATCTATCTATCTATCTATCTATCTATCTATCTTTCTTTCTTTATGTATGTATCTATCTATCTTTCTTTCTTTATGTATCTATTTATATTTATATAAATCTATTTCTATTTCTTTCTCTATCTATCTATCTATCTCTATCTATCTATCTATCTATACATACATATACATAAATATATATATATATATATATATATATATATATATATACATATATATATATATATATATATATATATATATATATATATATATATATATATATATATATATAGTAGGCTATCCTAAGGAACTGGAAACGCTACCAGGATTTATCTTCGGTAAGCGCAAACTTAACATTATAAGATACGCAAATGGTACTGTATTGGTGACAAACACAGAAAGAAAATTCCGGCACTTCCTTTAGTATTGAAGGAAAGCAAGAAGAAAGAACAATCCTCAATTGTAAGACAGAAAGTTTTGTTGTCAGCCGGGGAAAAATGATTGATTTCGGGTTAGAATACCATAAAAATATAAAACCTGGTTGTAAATTATGAAAAAAAATGTTTCTACATATTATCAACCCTTTGAGGTTATGGAAAGAAAATAATTTTAGATTTTAAGAATTTTTTGTTTTAGTTTAGTTTAGTGATACAAATCTTACTAATTAACCTATAGCTCGGGGGAGGAGAGGTGGATTCATTCGCGTAAGTAAATATAATAAAACCAACGGGAATTGAAACTCGGCTCCCCGATTAACAATTTTGAGCCATTATCCTTTATATCACCTGCACATCCAAGGATGCAGCATAAGGTATTCCCAAACTGTCACCCATATGAGTGTTAACCAGGCTCGAAGTTGCTTAACTTCGGTAATCCCACGGTGTTTAAACGTGATGTGGTTGTAAACTCGGCTAAGACGTAGTCTATTAATTGAAGATGTCAACATCAAATAAGTACGGAAGTTTAATTTATTTGGGACATGTTTTAACAGATGATGGAAAATATAACATCGAGATCCGAACATACATTGGTCTAGAAAAATATGTCTTCCAGAAGCTGAGTAAAGTAATAAAAAACAGGAAATTTTTGGTAGAAACAATGAAAAAATATAATATATAATATATATATATAATATTTCCATTATTCGGACTATTGTTCTCATCTTTGTCGCTATATTTATAAAAACGTTTCGGCCGTTGTACGCTCCGGTCTTCTTCAGTTGGTTGGAACATCGAACTGAACCCTTTATTTCGCTCACGTGCCATGTTTAATGGATGCCAGTTATTTGTTATCTCCACTGCCTTAACCGGGTATTGAACTCACACTTTGAGTACTGTCACTGGATCTAACTAACGTCTTTATTATTATGCATATAATTCACGATAGAGCACCAGTGAATAAAGTAATGCTCTAGCTTGAGTGGATCTTGAGCCATGAATTTTGTGAAAAATTTTACTTCTTTTGAAATATTTTGTTTTTTTTCTGATGACGCCGGTTCATTGCTAAAAGATGGAAAAAACATGCTAAAATGTCTGTCAAGATATCTTACATATTTTATATTACAACCAACACACATCCAAATTTATATATATATATATATATATATATATATATATATATATATATATATATATATATATATATATATATATATATTCACGCGCACAGACAAACACATACATGAATATATATATATGTTTACATATGTGTGTTTCTGTGTTTATATGTTGGGTTGTTTAACAATGGTGGGTGATTATATATTTAGCTTTAGAATGCTGCTAAATAAACTAAGATAAAACATGGTTCAAAATTATAGAAAAGAAATAACGAATGCGACTGACAAATTAAAAAAATCGCCTCATAGAGAAAAATAGATGTATAGATGAAGTCTTCAAAGAAAAAAACAAAAAAAAAAACAACCTCCAAAAATGAAGAGACCGGGACGAATGAAAAATGACGTAAATTCGAGAAGAAAATAAAGAACACAATATGAAAAATACATGAAGAAGAATCGTTTAAACGAAAGAGAGAAAGAGAATGAATACAAATGAAAAAGAGGCTGAAATGAATGACAGAAATCTGAACGAGATGGGTTAAGGAAATAAAGAAAGAATGAAAGAACATGAGAAAGAAATGCAATACATGGATATAAATAAAGGAACAAAGGCTGAAATGAATGAGTGAAATAAGAGAGAGTGGTTTAAAAGAAAGAAAGAAAGAAAGAAAGAAAGAAAGAAAGAAAGAAAGAAAAAAAGAAAACAAAAAGAAATGCTGGAATGAATGAGAGAAAAAAGACAGATTGGGTTAAATGAAAGAAAGAAAGAAAGAAAGAAAGAAAGAAAGAAAGAAAGAAAGAAAACAAAAAGAAATGCTGGAATGAATGAGAGAAAAAAGACAGATTGGGTTAAATGAAAGAAAGAAAGAAAGAAAGAAAGAAAGAATTAAAGCGAAAATGAAATGCCGAAAAGAATGAGTGAAATAAGAGAGAGTGGTTTAAAAGAAAGAAAGAAAGAAAGAAAGAAAGAAAGAAAGAAAGAAAGAAAGAAAGATAGAACAAAACAAATATTAGAGCAAAAAAAAAAGAAAGAAAGAAAGTATAAAGACAAAAAAGGGAAGATATTAAACAAAGAAAATGAAAGAAAGGGAGAAAGAACAAAGAAGATAATCCAGATGGAAAGCATGCGAAAGAAATAAAGAAAGCAAGAAATAAAGAAAGAAAACAGAAAAGAAATGATGGAATGAATGACAGAAATAAGAGAGAAAGGTGTAAATGTAAGAAAGAAAAAAAGAAACAAAGACAAAGAAGAAATTGAATATAAATAAATAAGTAAATAAAGAAAGAAAAAAAGAAAACACGAGGAAATGAATGAACACGTGAATTAAAGTGAAGGAAAAAGTAGAAAGAAGGAATATAAAAAAGAATGAGTGGAAGAATTGCAAATATTTGAAGGGGGGGGCTTAAATGAAAGAAAGAAGGAAAACTGACAGAAAGAAGTCTTTAATACAGACAGAAATTAGGCTTTTAAATATATCGATTAAAATATGGTCGTAATGATATCACCAATCTCTTAAATTTAAAAATACATCTCAAAATAATTGTAAATATATTATGTTTTTAAAAGCATTGCTAAAATATATTAGGCTTTTAAATATGTCATGTTTTTAAATGCATTTCTAAAATATATTAGGCTTTTAAGTATATCATGTTTGTAAAAGCATTTCTAAAATATATTAGGCTTTTAAATATATCATGTTTTAAAATCATTTCTAAAATACATTAGGCTTTAAAATATGTCATGATTTTAAAAGCAATTCTAAAATAAATTAGTCTTTTAAATATATCATGTTTTTAAATGCATTTCTAAAATATATTGGGCTTTTAAATATATCATGTTTTAAAAGCATTTCTAAAATATATTAGGCTTTTAGATATATCATGATTTTAAAAGCATTTCTAAAATATATTAGTCTTTTAAATATATCATGTTTTAAATATCTAAAATATTTTAAATCATGTTTTAAAAGCATTTCTAAAATATATTAGGCTTTTAGATATATCATGTTTTTAAAAACATTTCTAAAATATATTAGTCTTTTAAATATATCGATTAAAGTATGGTTCTAAAGATATTACCAAACTCTTAAATTAAAAATATATCGGGGAATAATTTTAAATATATTATGTTTTTAAAAGAATTTCTAAAAAAAAAATTAAGCTCCTAAATATATTGATTAAATAGGTTTCTAATGAAATCACCAAACTCTTAATTTTAAAAATGTATCAGTTAATAATTTTAAATATATTATTTTTTTAAAAAAACATTACCAAAATATATTAGGCTTTTAGAAATATCGGTTAAAATAAGGTTCTAATGATATCTGGCAACGCTTTTAAATTTAAATAAAGATATCGAAGACATTGCTACGAATATTTCTACAAACATTAAGGTTCTAAAAAACATCGTTATATATGTATTACATTTCTGAAAACATTGGTAAAGCAGATTAGGCTTTTAAATATATTGGTTAAAACAGTGATTCCCAACCTTTTTTTATATCTTGTTCGCACTTTCGAAATGAAAATTTGTTCTCACCTCATCAAATTTCAAGTAATAAAAACTACATTCAAAAATAAAATAAAAGAATGGAATTAGGTTTAAAGGGAGATAACTGCGGTTTCGAAATCAAAACATTATCATTGATAAATCTCTTCTCCAATTAGCGCACCATGGTTGATGTATTCTTAATACTTGATATAGTTTTAAACATGTCACAATAATAAAATCGGTCAATAATTATAAAAAAAAAAATATTTGTACAGGGACTCGTGCATGAAATTACAAGTAATCTATAATAATATTTTAAATTTTGAAATTATATTTATGTTTGGTATGAGAATTTTGGAAACAGTTTCTAAATCTTTGTCTTTAAATCATTTTCCACTCACCGTGCCGTAGTGTTTGCGAACCACCAAGTTAACTGGTCGTTCCTCCTGGGTCCAAGCGTGCCGCTCCAACCCTTTGGTCAGATGATCACCAGCCTCGCCTTTCCCGACTCGCTTCCAATACCTGGTCACTAAAGCAACTATACCGATCTCCGGTCTGTCTACCCACGCTGTGTTTAGATCTTAGACAGACGGGACCAGCAGGGATCGGGGCCGATACAAGTTGAGTCCGACGGGTGGCAAAACACAAATAAAATAAAAACTCACGACACCAAACAAAATTGTTGATAAAAAGGGTAACAACCTTTTTATATCTTAAAGTCCGTTACATAAAAACAAAATTGTTCTCAATTCCCGACCCGCTCTGTGGACTATGGCACCAAGCTTCTATCACACAATAGGAAAATGTCGAATTACCTACTTTCTAGAATCATGTATGTATGTCGGAGTGTGGTTCAGTTCGACACTGGGGCTAATTTCTATCGATCATTCGCAGTTGATTCTTCTCTCCGACTTGAGTTGTATTTCTTCTTCTTCTTCTGTTTAGACTGGTAGATTTTTCTTGTTTCAACCGATTGGAAGATTTCTTGCTTCGATTCAGTGGAAGATTTCTTGCTTCGATTCAGTGGAAGATTTCTTGCTTCAATTCGGTGGAAGATTTCTTGTCTTCAACTTGGGCTGGAAGGATTTCTTGTTTCGAGGATTCTTCTGTCGTCCGAGGGTGAACTGCAACTCACGCCCAACCCA